GAAAAATCAGTATACTCTGTCTACGTCGCGGAGAACCTAACGGGTAACCGGGGCTCCGGCTCGACGTGCAGGAGAAGGAACGGGGTGGTTTTTAGTCAGTAAGAGTCTGACACGCCCTTCCGCCTCACCCAGGCGGGAGCAGTCATTCGATGATTTTCCCCCCTTAAAAAAAAAGAAAAAAAAATACTCTGTCTACCCCTTCTTGGTATAACAAGCGTATCTAATAGTATTACATAATGTATTTAGTTCTCAGCTTAGAATAATACTCATCAAATAAGGTCCATATTCGCATGACAAGCTCAAGTTGCTTACGACATTTGAGAATTGGAATGCGAAGAAAAACGCTACTCAATGCGGAATGAATGTGATCGTGTTCGTTACCTGTTAACCTAATTTAGATTCTATGTACATATCTATAGTTGCATGGAAAAGTTGATAGGTTTTATTAGTTAGTTTTTATTTGACGATAGAGTAATAAAATACATGAAGCGCAAGAATTTTCCGGGGCTCCGGCTTGAAGCTCTTAATTAACTCAAACTTAATTTTAGTATCCTCCAGCAAACTGTTAAGAAATAAGTATGCTGTTTGACGCTAAAACAACGTGACGTCACAATACATAATCTCACGTACAAAAATCATAGAAAACTGTCGTTTTTGACAGTTTGAAATAAGTATTGAATTTGACTAGTTGGCAAATACCGTAATGATCTCGGTTTATGACATCTTTACGGCCAAAATGAATAACCGGTTATTGTCTAAATTTTGGCTTTTTTGACATTCCTTCTATTGAGATTCTTGCAAAACTTAAATTGGCCTAGGAGATCTTGGATTTTCTTATGAGATAAGCAGATAAACGAGCAGACGGATCACCTGATGGTAAACAATCGCCGCCGCCCATGGACACATGAAACACCAGAGGCGTTACAAGTGCGATACCGGCCTTTTGGGAATTGAGAATTTGAGGATCGTTGGGGATTCAGGAATTGGGAAGATTGGGGAAGGGGAGGGTAATTGGGCCTCCGGTAACCTCAGTCACACGACGAAACATAACGCAAGCGTTGCTTCACGACGGTTTTCTGTGAGGCCGTGGTATCACTCCGGTCGAGCCGGTCCAATCGTGCCGAAGCATGACTCTCCCACACTTAAAGCTGACTGAGACTGGGGAAGGGGGGTAATTGGGCCTCCGGTAACCTCACTCAAGCGTTGTTTCACGTCGGTTTTCTGTGTGGTCGTTGTATTGCTCGGGTTGAGCCAGCCCATTCGTGCCGAAGCATGGCTCTCCCACACTTGATGGGATGAAGATTACTCATGTTGGCTGTTAATTGGGTCTCACGATACCCGCGGGAGGAGTAGGGGTGGTGCCTATGGAAATCTATTCCACTGTGGCTTGTCGTAATCCCTTGATGATACACGCATTTGATTTGAAAGTAAAATATAAGTAAATGCATCGTTTCGCCATACTTTGAGCTCATTGTATCGTGAATAGTGACGCAATGCGACCATTATTATACAGACTGTAGTTATTGGCTATATATTTGTTACTTAATGTGTATGTGGGAACTATACTCGGAATTTTAATTCGGTTCCAGATTTGACAATTTCAGTGTGGCAACGTTATGACAAGTACTAAATAGTGACGTTGCGAAATTATTCGATATGAAAATGCAATATTTCTGGATCGATTCTTCTCGTTTATAATAATTATAATTTTACTCTCGTGAACTAAGTATATCGGGAAATTAAATATTTCTGAACCGATAATTTAGTTTTGACGATTAATTAACGATCTGAGACGTTTTTTTTTTATAATTGTGTGTGAAATAAATAAAAAAATGTAATCATGAACGAACATAACAAATAAAACAGATACATGTATTATGGTAATAAGTTATTTTATAAATTTTCGCCAACATCGCTATCGCTATCCTGTCACTTTCTGTAACATTTATTATAAAACACACATACTGATTGTTTATCGATTTTTGTGTGCATCACTGCACTATTTATATGTGGTATCATTATTTCACAAAATGGCAGTAGCTATTGTCAAATCTGGAATCTAATTAAAATTCTGACTATAGATACTTTTTTCTATCGTGATGGTAATCCTCAAGGATAAGTGGGCCAATCAAAAGGCTCAGCAGCAGGTTGAGTATAGCTGCCCTAGTAACACGTTGACCGACACTAGGATTTTCTTCTGAATCGTGTTTGGTTTTATATTCCGTACTCTGAATGCTATTTTAACAGCTACGATTGTGGTTGTATAGTGTTGACATTGAATAATTATTGAGATTTCATTGGATTGAAATTGCATTGACATTGAGGTTGGTTTCAAGAGTAACCACCCAGAACTAGGCTTGTGTAGTTCGCGAACGAACTAGTTCAAAAGAGCGCTCCCACATTCAAAATATGCGAACTAGTTCACTTCATTCCCAACTCCTTAGTTCCTTAGTTCGTATTAAAAGTACAAGTACAAGGATTGTGAAGTCGTTTATATGTATAGTCTATGGTGAAGACCGAACTAAAAAATGCGATAACATATTATTATAATCTCACTTGAAAAGTCATTATTAAGTATTAAATGAATAAGTTTACTGTGTGTTAATTTTAATCAAAACTAGGGAGTGATTTGGCTGCCAGTGCCTTCTTAGTTCGCGATTCATTCCAATTCCAAATCCAACTGGGAGTCGGGAGCTGACGAACTAGGGAGCGATTTGGCTGCCAGTGCCTTCCTAGTTCGCGATTCATTCCAATTCCAACTCCAACTGGGAGTCGGGACTCGGGAGCTGACGAATTAAAAGAGCGAACTAGTTCGTTTAGGAGCGGCGAACTGATCTGAGTGATCTTAGTCGCGAACTATTAAGCACAAGACTACCCAAAACACAACCAAACTGAAATACACTTTATCTTATTCTAAGTCGCGGAGAACCTAACGGGGCTCTGGCTCGACGTGCAGGAGAAGGAACGGGGTGGTTTTTAGTCAGTAAGAGTCTGACACTCCCTCCCGCCTCACCCAGGTGGGAGCAGTCATTCGATGTTTTTCGCCCATTAAAAAAAATTCTTATTCTAAAGAGGGACGCAAATCGTAAGTGATATTAAAATTTTAAAACGAAACTATTTTTCCAAATAGTCTAACTAGTCACACTGTTATCTGTCATAGAATTCCGTTATCATATTAGTTCTTGTTATCGTCGTATTTTTAAAATTGTTTTCGAAAACTAGTTGATAAGCTATCGTTCGTCGTAATCGTTTTTTGGAACTATGATAAACGGTTCATAGGTACAAGCCCTTATCGTCTGTACTTAAATAGTAAACAGCTACTATAACCAACGACTTTGGACGTAAAAAAAAAATTTATTCAACCCTTTTTCTATGGGAATTTGGAGAAATCCTCTCTTAGTGCTTTGCGAACAGAGAGTAACGTTCCCTAAGAAAAGAAGGATCCTCCGACCTGGGGGCTTACTCTTGAATCTAATTCCGATCGATGGACACTGGTATTGTGAAATTTCGTACTCTTGAGTTGCAACACTAGCGCCCATTGCATCCGTATTGCGTGGATATTGAATGAACTAAATGGTATTGAGTTCAGTTTTATATTCTATATACTCTATATGCTATTTAAACAGCTACGATACGGGTTGTATAGTTTTGAAATTGAATAATTATTGAAATTTTATTGGATTGAAATTGCATTGACATTGAGATTAGTTTCAAGAGTAAGCACCCAGGCGAAGTGATCGTGGCTGGCGAGCTTTTTGCCCAACAGTTGTTCGTTGGGATTTTCTATCCGTGTTAATTCGTGAGGCGGGAGAGAGTGTCAGACTCTTACTGACTAAAACCACCCCATTCCTTGTCCTGCACGTCGAGCCGGAGCCCCGGTAACCCGTTAGGTTCTACGCTTGGTACTCTGTTCTCATCGCTTCGTTGACGTACTTCGTTGATTTTCACTTTTACCTTCATCTGAATTTCTCACGAATATTTGTATATCAAATTTATCCAAATCGGCACAGCCGGTCCCGACTTTAAGTCTGACGTACGAACATAATTAGTTATTTATTTATTTCTTTATGTATATGTAGATTGATTCGGCACGTGTAAGTTTTGACTTCTGTTTTTTTTCGGACCCTTCGTGTTGAAATAGATAAAGTGACATAGCGTAATATTATCTATATTATCGTCTTATATTAATTGGAATGATGATGGAGTATGAAAATTAAAAATCTAATTAGTCCGTAAGTTAGGCAACGAAAAAATATTAGACACGTATTTTTTTATGTTGTCGTATAATAAAACAATACTTAGGTAAGGTAAAACGAATCAAAGTTTAGGAGTGGGGGATAAAACGTCATGTCTACGTATAAAATGTACATAGAAGTGTTTCGTGTTCGTGTGAGTGAGGTTACCGGATGACCAATTACCCTCCCCTTCCCCAATCTCCCCAATTCCTGAATCCCCAACGATCCTCAAACTCCTAATCCCCAAAAGGCCGGTAACGCACTTGTAACGCCTCTGGTGTTCCGGGTGTCATTGGGCGATCAGGTGATCCGTCTGCTCGTATACCGGCTTATGCCATAAAAAAATTAGTACAATTCCAGACTCCGTGCCACTACTGATGATTTTTTAAAAACCCAATAGTACTTTGCCCGTCCCGGGAATCGAACCCGAGACCCCTGGCCCGGCCCGACACTTGCGACCACTCGGCCAATGAGGCAGTCGTAACTTGTACTACCCCATTAAGTATTTAATAACTTAATATTTTATTTTGATTTTTATTAATACAATGTTTTTTTTGTTCCAGGTACCATACCACCGGAATAAACATTCCAAATTAAAAAAAAAACATATGTACCTAAAAGTGAAATTATAGATTTAAGTCTAGATTTAACGGTTAGACCAAAATTCTTAGCCAAACTCCTTCAATCAACACCGATGACCTGCCTTTTCCAAACCAAAGTTTTAAAATTAATTTATTTTTGGCCATTAACAAGATATTGAGGAAGATGACTCCCCAACAGTATTGTTTGAGATGGAAACATCATCACACCAACGTCCAGAACATGTTCGCTCAGCTCCTCGAAAAAGGTCAGTATCAAACATTAACTAACATTTATGGTTAAGCATTGCCATTCAACGTGGCAATGCTGCCAGTCTTTTGGGCACCCTACCTCACGGTAGCGATGAGGAAAATGTTTTCTTTGATGCCTTATGATTTTTTTTTAAGGTGTAAATATTTTAGTTTTAATTATTTATTTCAATAAGAAGTGTAAGTAGTATCAAACTATTTACATTATCTGTCTGTAGTCCGGATTACATGCATCACAAAAGACTTAAAATATGCATGCAATAGGGTTGTTGCCAGGGTATCAAAATTAAAATTCTAATTAGATAATGAAAAAATATTAGACACGTATTTTTTTAATTTTCTCGTATTAAGTTCCAATACTTAGAAAAAATGGCGCCAAGTTTAGGAGTGGGAGGTCGTTACGTCATAACGTGCCACAAAATGTGGCACGCTGTGACGTCACACGATATTTCAAATTAATATATGTAGTCGAAAGTATTTAATTTTGTGAGAAAAGAAAAAATGCGTGTCTAAGGTTTTAAATTAATGTACCAGACGGACATTAAAATAAAATTTAGGAAACTACCCTATTATGCACTAGAAAGGCTGAAATATTTAATGCAAGTATGACAGAGCCATGCTTCGCCACGAAGAATATTGTAAATGTATTTGTTTTTTCTATCTTATACCCGCGACTCTGCTTATGTGATTTTGGCACTTGCCTACTAGTCAAATTCAATACTTTTTTTGAACTGTCAAAAACGACTGTTTTTTTTTAATTTTGTACGAGATTGTGTATTGTGACGTCACGTTCTTTTGACGTTGAACAGCATACTTATTCCTTAAAAATTTGCTGAAATATACTAAAATTAATTCGGTCATAAAATCAATTAATGAAAATATGATTATTTTTTAAACTTTTTATTTTGTAGTGATTTAATAGTCGAAATTATTTATTTTTGATCAAGGAATGGTGATAATATTACCATACCCGGAGGTTTAAGATGCCCGCTTCTCATGCATGAGGGTGGGATTAACCTACTAACGGCAAGTACCAATGTAACTTTTTCGAGTTATATGTACTTTCTAAGATTATTTAGACACCTCACACCACTGACAAACGGTGAAGAAAAACATCGTGAGGAAACCTAAGCTTATAATTTCTAATTATAAGTTTGTAATCGCCAACCCGCATTGAGCAAGCGTGGTGATTAATGCGTAAACCTTCTCCGTGCGAGAAGAGCCCTTTGGTCAGCAGTGGCCACCTATAGGCTGTTGATGTGTTATGTGTCACAAATAAACTGCTTCTCATGAAGGTTTAATGAACCCGGTTGCAAAAAATGCCTATTATTCTCAAAAGACTTTGTTTTAGCATTAAAATTTTAAAAATAAAATTAAAAACATACACTATCGCGGAGGGTAACAAACTTTGAAATTCTCGAGACAAAAATAGATTCATTAAATTAATTTTGGCTGTAAAATAAAAACGTAGATACGAAAAAAAAAAACATTCGCAGTATAAAATTATAATTTTCAAAAATATATTCGAAAAGCCGGTTGCGACTAAATTAAGAATACCGGTTTTAGACACATTTCGTATGAGATTTTTTTAAGTTTTTTTTTTAAATATCTTTACCCGCGGGTTCGAGGTCTTTGCAAAATAGCGAGAAATAAACTTGAGGTCAAATTTCGAAACACATTTGAATAGAATGGCTAAAAATAGACTCACACACTTTGTTTCAGTTTATACAATTAGGTATATCTAAATTTATATATGTAATGGTGTTAAAACCAGTCGTAAATGTGGCTAAAAATAACCTGTATTTAAATATAGAATGCTAGAAAGAATGGCCCATAAAAGTAGTCTACATAAATAATACGCCAATTAATGAACTTTTAAATAAATAAAAAATTCAACATTTTGTTTTAGTTAATAATAAAATGCTTAAATAAAATGTAGTTCACAATACACGTAAAAATGGTAATATGCAATAATAAATATATCATTTAGTTGCCACACTATGAAATCTGATTTAAAATGCAAGATTTTTTTTAACATGGCAACATTAGCATAGCATACCTACTTCGTTTTAAATTTAGAATCAGGTGCTAGCTTCCGCCCGCGGCTTTACTCGCACAAGGTTAAATATTTGCATAATTATTATAATAATTTTATCGATTTTGAAATACATTGCCAATTAGCGTGGACTTTGTGAATTAATTTTTGAAATGTCAATAACGATACACAGACTACTTCGTTCATTAAAAAAATATTTTCTTTGTAAACGTAATTTTTTACTTACCTACACTTGGAAGTAAAGAAATAACATAACATAACACGTCTTTTTATCCCCGAAGGGGTTAGGCAGAGGTGCGTAATACGGCACTGTACAATGTAACATCCACTTTACACTATTTATGTTATGAGTCCCATGTAATAGAAGCTGAGCCTATTGCCGTATACCGGGCACAATTCCAGATTCCATGCTACTACTGAGATTTGTTTTAAAATCCCAGTAATACTTTGCTCGACCCGGGAATCAAACCCGATACCTCTTGCCCAGCAGTAGCACTTGCGACCACTCGGCCAAGAAGGCAGTCGGACGGCATGCGTAGCTCGCCGCTATAGGTAATGAAAAAATATTAGACACGTATTTTTAATTTTAGTCGTATTTTTTAATCATCGAATGAATTCTCCCGCCTGGGTGAGGCGAGAGGGAGAGTCAGACTCTTACTGACTAAAAACCACCCCGTTCCTACTCCTGCACTTCGAGATGCAGCTTCGGTAACCCGTTAGGTTCTCCGCGAATTTTGGTCGTATAGGACAACAATACTTAAATAAAACGAATCAAAGTTTAGGAGTAGGAGCTAGCTACATCATTTCTACGTATAAAACGCACATAGAAGTGACGTCACGCGATATTGCAAATCAATACATCGTGAAGAGTATTTGTTTCCGTGAGAAAATTAAAATTACGTGTCTATTGTTTTGAAATAATGTACCAGTCGGACGTTTAAATAAAATTAATCATCAACCCTATTAATGTTTGGTAAAATTAGGGCTCGTACACAAAACTGCGATGCGCCGTCGCATCGCAGAAATGTGCGAGCTCCCTCTACGCATCGCAAGAACTTGCGAATTGATTCGCGTCGCGCATCAAAATCTTATCTTCCCGAAATCTTTGTTTCCTTTTCCTGTATCTCCTAAGCAATAACAGAAGTGCACACTTCTTTTTACGATCCATGTCACGACCTAGTTTTCAATTTAAAATACGTTTAGTACGGTTGACGGTCGTCGAAGGAATGGTCACCCTGGGTGACGCCTTGTCGCACGAAATCGTATCGCAGCAATTCACGGTTTTATGTACGAGCCCTTAGGTCTAAGAATAAATCTGGAATTGCATGGAACTAATAACATAGCTGATGAACCGTGGAGGTGTAAATTACCGTTTTTCCTAACGAAATCTTTGTTGCGATGTTGTATCGTACGCGTAGGCAAAACTGACAATAAATAATACATGCTTGCTTTTTGTATCTATAATCGTTTTTAAAAACGAGTTTTGTAGTTGTCGGAGGTCAAAAAATTTTAAAGCCGTACACTTAAAGCTATGTGATGTGCATGTGAACTTGTATGTTTGTAAACGCACACATAACACAGGAGACAATCGCAGTGTGGAGCAACGTTTAAAAAAAATGGCATATTATGTCAATGTTGCCAATAGTGCAGTCGTATATTTCAATAATTATTTTATTAGCTACTTTTGAAAAAACCGACTACGACAACGTCGACAACTTCTTTTTTTTTTGAAGTCGCTTTATTACTAATACCTTTTCCTAAAAAACAGTTTTCTGAAACCGCATCAAAATCGTTTCAGCCAGTCGCGAGATAATCGCACAAGCACACATACATTCAAGTCACACTGAGAATGTCCTGTTTCTTTTTAAAGTCTTTTAAAAATGTATTTAGTTAGTCCGTTCAAAAGCACCTTCAGATGACGTTTTAGATATTATTGTAAATCATAATTTGGTTTTAAGGTCGTCAATCTGAAATGCGAGGTCTTCGACTCCTGACGCCTTAGTACGAGTTTAATTTACGCTTAAAGTATTCGAAACGAGACCGCGTTCGGCACTCTGATTGGCCGGCGCCAATGAAGCAACCAATCAGAGGCCTTGGTACGAGTTTCTTTTTCGTTTATAGTAATCGAAACGAGACGGCGTTCTGAGTGCCTAGCACGAATAACTACGAATATCGCATTCGTATCGTAACAGTATCGAGCGTTCTGATTGGTTGGTTCACTCGAGCCGGCCAATCAGAGGGCCGAACGCGCTCGATACTATTACGTTACGAATGCGATAGTTATTTGTGCTTGGCACTCTGAGGGCTTAGTACGAGTTAGTTTTACGTTAAAAGTAAACGAAACGAGAACGCGTTCGGCGCTTTGATTGGTTGGTTCATTGGCACCGGCCAATCACAGCGCCGAACGCGTACTTGTTACGATTATTTTCAACGTAAAAGAAATTCGTACTAAGGCCTCAGTGCTCTGATTGGTTGGTTCATTAGAGCCCGCCAATCACAGCGCCGAACGCGTACTCGTTACGATTACTTTAAACGTAAAAGAAATTCGTACTAAGGCCTCAGTGCTCTGATTGGTTGGTTCATTGGCACCGGCCAATCACAGCGCCGAACGCGTACTCGTTACGATTACTTTAAACGTAAAAGAAATTCGTACTAAGCCTCTGGTTTGTACAGCGGTTTTTTATTTTGTAATCTTTATTTATTGGTTTAGTGTTTTGTTGTGCAAAGGTTTGATGCTATCTTATACATACTATTGTATAATAAAATCGTAGAAAAGTCAAAATTGTAGACTAAAGAGATAGGCGCCTTATATAGGCACCCTGTCTTAAAAAAAATGTGCATTTGGATTCAGATCGCTTGCATTCAGCTGATGTGGAAGTCAATGAGGAAAGTCTTAGTAGTTCAGCAGTCAATGTTTTTTAATGACGATGCTTATAGAATTTA